GGTCAGTGATGAGAAGTCGACATCTGCTGTAGACGTTCCCGAAGTTGCTGTGGTCAGTGATGAGAAGCCGGCACTGGCTTTGGATGTTCCCGAAGTTGTTGCGATCACCGATGAGAAGTCGGCAGCAGGTGTGGACGGTTCCGAAATTGTTGTGGTCAGTGATGAGAAGTCGACATTTGCTGTAGACGTTCCCGAAGTTGCTGTCGTCACCGATGAGAAGTCGGCAGCGGGTGTGGACGTTCCCGAAGTTGCTGTGGTCACCGATGAGAAGCCGGCGCTGGCTTTGGATGTTCGCGAAGTTGTTGTGATCACCGATGAGAAGTCGGCAGCAGGTGTGGACGGTTCCGAAATTGGTGTGGTCAGTGATGAGATGCCGGCACTGGCTTTGGATGTGGCCGAGGTTGCTGTGGTCACTGATGAGAAGTCGCCAGCAGGTGTGGACGGTTCCGAAGTTGGTGTGGTCACTGATGAGAAGTCGCCAGCAGGTGTGGACGTTCCCGAAGTTGCTCGGGTCACCGATAAGACAGCTGAGGATAACGCGGAAGACGTCGGGACTGATTCATCCACTGAGGAAAGTTCCGAGGACGACTGGATGGGCAGTGGGGCTGACTCATCCCCCGAGGAGACTGGGGAGGACGATGGGGCCGCCATTGGAGGAGCCTCAGGCATTGCGACTGCACCAGGCGAGGGAGAGAGCGGCCCCGACGATGTCGCAGGGGAGTAGTGCCAGTCCAGGAGCCTTCTCCCCTCGTTGTGAACAAGAAGAAAGAGGACCGAGGAGCGCGGTAACGGCGAGCAGAGTGGTACGATGGGGAGGGAGTTAGAGCGGCTCGCCGATGGTGACACTTACCCAGGACCAGAAGACGCAGGAAAAAGTGTGTAGAATGGGGAGTCTCAGAGCCGTAAGGCGAGAGCTCTGAGAAATGATCGGATGTGCATCGGGAAACAATTCGCACACGTCTTGGGAAGGATAGAAAACCGCCTGGGGGTCAGCGGAGGAGCGCCAAAGTCCTTTAGTGTGTTCGTCATTCGTTGTAAGGCGTCCCCTATAGCAGCGCTACTTGCTGCATGGCCATCAAAGAGAGCGAATGGATCAGACTGCGCCGTGAAGCATTCCCGATAACCTATCTCAAAAAGCAAAAAGATCCACAATACGGCTAAGGTGATAGGAAGATCCATAATCGGCGCCGTGAAGCATTCCCGATAACCTATCTCAAAAAGCAAAATGATCCACAGGACGGCTAAGCTGATAGGAAGATCCATAATCGATCCACGGAGCAAAAGAGCGCTCTGGCACTTCTGTGAAGAAGAAAGATCACGCAGAGTCGCTAGGATGTACATCTAAGAAAATGAAAAGAATTTGGGGCCTCTCATGTGAGGCGAGGGGGATCGCCCGGGCGCCTAGGTTATTGAGGAGCAGTGACTCTCTCGCATTCCTGAGCAGGTTAGTGAGACATAATTTTTTCGAGCATTTTTAGCGTATGCGTTAGCTTGGTTAAGTATTCGCTGAGGAAAGGTAAAGCGCCACTTTTCTCATTTGGGTGCTTGTAAATATAAGACACGCGCAGCAAGTGAACAAGATGAGGATTATAGAAGTTCGCTGTGAGGGGTGTGACGCCTTGCGTCGCGTTCAGGTTCCGTGGGGAGAGGAAGTAGGCGACCCAGATCCGCTGCTGAAGTGGGGAAAGTTCAAATGCGGGGCAGTTAACCTTGTATGTGCCGCAGGGCAATGTAACTCGTGCGATCGACTGAAGGCGCACCAATTGAAGCAGCTCCGAAACTTGTACAAAGTGAGCACTGAGTATAGTTCGTCCTCGCGTGCGGTAGCGGTGTCGACGATGAAGCCGCGAGCGACTGAGCGGCGCGACCCCGTGAGGAAGAAGAGGCAGGCCCCTCGCGCGGCTGAGGCGGTCCTTCTCCCGGAGGAGAGTCGGTCAGAGGTCGAGTTTCCCGGGACTTTTTTTCCGCCAATGTCGACGAAAAAGGAAAAGGAGATGGCGAAGGAGGATGAAGAAAATCGCCGAAAGGAGCAGGAGGAAGCAGATAGAAAAGCGAGAGGCAAGAGCGAAGCGCGGAAGGAGCTCAAGCAGTCGACGTTTTTGAATTTGGCGCCGAGTTTGGAGGATGCAGAACCCCAAGGAGGACGCTGTCGAAGTCTTGTCGGTGAGGCACGCTCGAGGCCGGGGCATCCTGAGGGCCTTGCAGCTCCCATGTCGCGCAAAGGCGCCGCGGAGAAGAATCTCTCGAAGAAGGTGGAGCGATTTGCATCGGAGACAGGAGGGGACGGAGTGGAGGTGTCGTCATCGGAGGAGAATCCATCCGATTTCGCTGCGGAGGAGAGCGAGGGCGAGTCGAGTGCGATTGAGTGGGAGGTCCAGCGAAAGCCGATGCTGAGAATCCGACGCCGCGAGCATCAGGCGGAGGAGATCCGCGCACTGCAGACGCTTGTAAATGATAGCCGATCCCGTGTGACACGCCGGAACGTGTGGAAGGCACTGAAAGACGGCAACGCGCTGAGCAAGGTTGTGCGGGAGTGGGATCCGAACGAAGACGCTCCGAAAATGCGAGCCTTCGTCTCAAAGTTAATGGGCGCGTATGAAGTCATCAACCGCGAGATCGGGGGAGAGCCGAAGGACATGTCTGCCATTCCGCGGAAGAAGCCTCGACACACGAGCAACGCGACTGGGAGACTCAAAAAGCTCGAGGGTGTGCTGCGCACTTGGTCTGACTGGAGAGTTCTGAAGCAGCGCCTACGCAAAAAGTTGAACTTCGAGCGCGATCAAAGTCCTTCCTTGGCGGGATTAGTTGACTTCGCTAATTGCGACGAAGTTGGGATCCTCAAAGAATATGCCCCAACAGGTGGCTACCGAACTGAGTGGTTTGAGAGCAAGGACGATAACTGGTGCTTGCCTCGGGACAATGTAGACGATAAAGGCAGCGCATTGGTCTGGGCGTTTTCTGATCCTTCGCTGCGAATTGCTCCAACGGTGGTTGTCTCGCGTGATTATGTGGCTGGAACTTCGCAGCGAGTGAAACAGCGGCGGAGGCTGTGTGAGCGCAGCATTTCAAACTGGGGGCGGATGGTCGTCAACCCTGAGAACAGTCGAAAGGGGACGGTTACGCAGCAAATCTTTTGGGATGACGTGCAGCGGATGACTGCGAATAAAGTGAAAGTGAAGGGCGAGCGGCGGCCACTGGTTCTCATCTTCGATGACTGTTCGGCCCATAAGTTCGCGAACTCCGAAATCTTGGAAATGGAGAAGCAGGGCGTCTACTTGTTGCGCTTGTGGGGAGGGACGACCAGTCTGCTCCAGGTAATCGACTGCATGAATTTAAGCCGGAGCCCCTTGCCAGGATGTCCTTTCTCACCGTGAGAAGTGAGACAAAGAACGGCAAGCGGCTTCGTTTTCATATGCGATAGGCGGCGCGATTCAAGGTAAAGCGAGGGAGTGCGCGGAAGGAGATGAGTCCGAGCAGCATCGAACCACATTCGAAGACAAGCGAGTTTGGAAGGCTTTGCGAGAGGATGAGACGCGACGCCCCTGGCATCAAATGCGGTACTTCGAGATCTGTGGCTTTTCACTGGAAGACGATGTTCCAAGGTCGGTGCATATGGAGCTCTGGCGGTTTCTAGAGCTTACCCGCGAGATGTTTCCTGATCGTGTGAAGGAGCTTGAGCAGAAGTTCTTGCGCTTGTCGCAACGTGGTGCGGATGATTTTGAACTTCTTGCGCCAGATGAAGGCCCGAAAGAAAAGAAGCCGAACAAGAGCAAAGGCAGAGGCAAGGGCCCGACTGAAGAAACCGGCGACGGGCGTGACACTGCCACGAGTGTCGTGCAGGGGAAGAGGCTGGAAATAGAGTGGCGCGCCATCTTTAAGCGCGACAGAGAGCGGAGAGAGGAGGACGATAGGACCGGGGAACTGGACCCGAAACGGCAGAAACAGTGAGAAGAAGAAACAACACCCCAGAGAGGTGGGACAGACGCTCTGGGCAGTCAGGCTTGCGGGCCCGGGTGAGTAGCGACACCCCCTTGGCGAGCTACGTGGGCGGGGTGGCTTTATGCGTTGGCCGTTGTAGAACTGCTGGCAGCTGCTTGCCCTGGTCGATGTTCCTCTCCAGCTGCTTTCTTCGTCTTGGCAGTTCTTTCTAACAAATTCAGCAAGATGCACGGCGCTGGGCGCACAAGTGTCGACGGTAAGCCAGGAACCCGAGAGAAGTACTCAGCGACCTACTGGCGGTGCCGATATTTTAAGGCGACCCCGGCTCCGTCTTTTCTAGCGTCCTCGTTTGGTTTTTGCAAGGGCAAAAGCCATCAGAGATGTTCTGGGAGGGTGGTGGACCTGGGGCAGCTAATCCACGGGGCGAGAGAAACGAAAGGGACGCGCGCACTGCGGACCTGGAGCAGCAGCTAGCCAGAGGAAGAGTGGAACTTCGACACACCCTAAGCGAACTGGAGAAGCAGCGCGACTTGGTGTGCAACCTGCGAAAGCATCTAGAGCGAGAGACGAAAGAAGCGGAAGGAGCAAGAAAGAGCCAAGAGCTTTTGCGGTCTTACAGGAAGATGTTTGCGATTGAAGTTATCTCCTTGGCTTTCTTCGTGTACGTGTACTACCTATACCGGGCGCACTTCTGAGGGCTACAGGTACACACGTTTAGTCTTTTCTTTTAGTGGTGTTCTGGACTCTTAAACAGGAAGGCTAGCCGATGTCTGATGGTGTCGGCTGTCGTCTCATTCGGTTTGTATCGGTAGCCGGAGGGATTGCAGGGGAGAGGGGTACGCCAAGCGAGGGGCGAAACCGATAAGAGAAGGGGGAAAGCACCTGAAAAGAGCCCGGGAAGACGGAGGCGAAACCGATAAGGAAATATGAAAAGGAGAGTGACGGACTGGCCTCGCGATAGGCGGACTGTCGTCCCAAAATGTGAAGAAAAGTGGCAAAATATCGAAAACGGCCGAGAAGTCCCACCGTCTCTTAAGAGTTTCGCGAGGACAGACAGGGCAGGCCGTTCACATCCTCCACAGTTTCGCCCGTTGGCATTCTCGTCCATGTTACCGAAGAGGGCGCCCCTCTGGGCAGTTCCTGCGACTCACCTGCACCGAGTTGGTCTGTGTCTCTCTGCATCCAGTGCCGCCGTGGCCTCCTCGCCTCCTCTAACTTCCATGGCTGCACTTGTTGCGTTTCCCGAGGGTCCGGAGCCGCTGATTGTCCAAGACCAGCATTGGGCATGTGATGGGGCCTGTGACTGGGGGAAGCGCGTGGAGGAACTGGCGTCTTGGAATCCCGGTTTTTGTCTCCGTGAATTCTACAAGACATTCGGACTACGCCGCGACCTGGTTTTGCACTTGTCTCCGGATGACCTCACTTACGACGAAGACTACAAAGACCTCCTGCTCGGGAAGCCGATCCTGTTTTTGACGCATGATCACCCCCCGGAAATTCAGCGATTTCAGACATGGGCGGACCTAGAGCATGAGCACGCAAGGGCAACGGTGCCGAGGCCGGTGGCCTACTTCCGCAGACTGGGGCCCACGACCTCATTCCCAATGCGCCACCCGAATCAGCTCATTCCCCACCAGGTCGTCGCGGAAGCATTCGAGACGAAGATCCTGCACGGTCACGGCCCCTTCCCCGGCCCGACGATTCCAAAGGAAATCAGCTCCGTTATCGTGGACACGAAATTGGCTGAGGTCACCTGGAACGAGCATGGCGTTCCGGACTGGGTGCCACGATTCTACCTCCACAACACGCCGCCCAGCTTTCTCGATGATGCTTACATAGAGCCAAACATTCGCGAGACGCCCTTCTGCCGGGTTTGCTTCACGAGGTACGTCATCTGCGCGCGCGATGATATCCACTGTCCCTGTCTGCCTGACAGCGAGGAAGGTGCGCCCAATTATTTTTGGTTTACTCGGGGCTTCCCTCCGTTTGTTGTTGTCTCCTGTTTTGGGTAGGCGGGCACAGTCATGGGACTGCGCTAAGGTGATTGGCGCCACCTCCTCTGCCAGCTACTCCATCTGTCTCGGTGGAGGCTCCGCCTCTGCGCCCCCCCTCTTCCCACTCCCGTTCTTGTTTATTTCATTCTCTTCTCGTTGGTCCCGTTCCCCTCTAACATCCGCGCGGGGGAGCAAATCTGCCACGCAATGGCCCAGTGGGATCAGGGCTTGGATCCTTTTGGGCGATACGAGGTCCACGTCGCCGACGACTGTCCGCGGGATTGTCTTTGGGGCGCGAGAGTGTCCGAATTTCTAGAGGCTAACTCTGAATTTGATATACGTGGAATGTACAAATGTCTCGCGCGTCGCGAGCCGTTTGTTTTAACGGGGTCGAACGTCGGTGGGTACAAGGGCCTCCTCCTGGCTGAGCCATTGGAACGCTATGCGAAGGATGCCCCATCCTCCGTCATTTTCGTCAGAAGTCGACAAGAGATCGAGGACCGCGCTACGCTTCCCAACGCGCCCTTTGTCCACCGCCCCCGGGTGGTCTTCTACGAGCTAGGCACCGACTGGCTGGGACGATGGCAACACGTAGACTTCCACACCGTCCGGCTCGCTTTTGAACGCAACACCCTGGAGCATGACATGACGAACGAGTATGGCGTTCCGTCTTCGCATGTTGACACTGCGGGCACCGTCGCCACGTCGGAAAAGACAGACCCGGACGAGCTAGCGGCGTTGGGTGTCCCTCACCACGTCCGCCGCTTCCACGCTGCAAGTGAACCGCAGACGGACATTCCGTGGCAAATCGTCGACAGTACCCCTGTCTGTCGCAGTTGCTTCACTTACTACGTCTCGGCATGTGAGACGGACAGCTACTGCCCCATGCTGCCGGATGTTCCCCCAGGTCTTCTTCTACATTAGGCATTATCATAGACGTTGGGGGTTTTTCATAGGTATTATCATAGGTAAAAGAATGGAGAAAGCGTCGCCATAAGAGAAGTGAGGGGCGAAACCGATAAGAGAATGGAGAAAGCACCTGAAAAGAGCCCGGAAAGACGGAGGCGAAACCGATAAGGATATATAAGAAGGGGAGTGGCGAACTCGCCTCGCGATGGGCGGACTGGCGTCTCAAAATGTGAAGAAAAGTGGCAAAATATCGAAAACGGCCGAGAAGTACCACTGTCCCTTAACGGTTTCGCTTAAGAGTTTCGCGAGGACAACCTGGCCCATTTTTTTCGGAAGCGTTTGCGCCTTTTTTGTTGCTGTATGCTTTGGCTTTTTTTCTTATTTGCGAGGAAAAACGCCGCGGCGCGCCGCAGGGTGTGGCGCGAGGTTTTACCAAAACTCCACCACGAGAGGGCCGGCGGGACTTCTCCTTTGTGGTCAATCTTTTGGAAGAATATGGCGAATAGAAACCGATAAGATGTTCTAGAAATCCTTGTGGGGATTTTTCTCGGAGACCCTGCGGCCGCCTTTTTCTTTTTATTCGAGAGAATTCGAATACTTTAAGGATATTGGAGATCATTCCGCTTCTCGATAAAACCGCGCGCACCTCCATCATCCACCTGCTTCCACTTCTTTCATTTCGCGAGATACGAGAGCCGGGCCGTCGCCGTCTTGTGTTCCCCCGGCTTGGCTCTTTTTTGTTCCAGTTTGGTCGGTCTGTGTTCTTCTGGCCTGCCTGCTCTTGTGTTCTGCGTCTTCTCGCGTGCTCTGCTCGCGTGCTCTTGGCGCGTGCCTAATCTCTGCGCCGTGGCGCGCCGTCTCTCTAGGCCGCCAGTGACGAGGTGGCAGAGCGTTGCCCTGCTGGGCTGTTCGCGCTGGATTATGCGGAGCCCACCAGCGCCCACCAGCGAAGCGCGGCGCGTCGTCCCTCTGGCGGCCCAGGAACGGGGGGCAATGTGTGACCCGTGGGCAACAGAGTGGCGCACCATCTTTACATCCCTGCTAATAGTGGGATGTAAAGATGGCGCACTGCGAGGCCCTTTATCCTTATAAAAATGACCGGCCTCGTATGGTAAATCTATATCAAAAAGCTTCAGTCTATGTGTATGCCACGGAAAAGCGACGCGCACCCGTTGGCGTGGAGGTCTGGCGAGACGATCGCAGTATGAACCGGCATCGCGTCCAAAATCAGGGCGATTAGAAATGCATTTAAGAAAAAACGGCCGGCCATTTTTTAAGAAGGGCTGGCTATTTTTTAAGAATGCGTGGCCATTTTTATGGCCGTCCATTCTTCAAGCAAGCCTACACTGTCGCCGCTTATTATTCAAGC